ATTCTTGCTGAGATTGAAGCGGTTACATTAGCGCTAAAACAAGCTATATATGAGCAAGAGCTGCAACGCGTAATCATACGAACAGACTCAGACTATGTATGTCGATGTATCGCGAAATATTTCAATTATTGGAAACAAAATGATTTCTATAAAGCTGATGGTGTTACAAGGGTGAAATATGCTGAAGAATTACAAGAAGTGGATAGATTGTTGACTATGATAGAGGTGAGTCATTTGTTGTTGAGTGGAGAAACGTTGTCGAATTCAGCAGCATTTTATGCATTCTCAGTATTGTGATTGTTATTATTATTGCCGTTTTAATTTATTTAAGGCCAAAGTCGAGCATTTTCCAAAGAACAGGCCTGATGTGGGCAATTGGGTCCTGGCAAAATTAAAACCAAAAAAGACTGATGAGCAGCGTGATGGTATGTTGATTATTCTTATACATTTTTGATATTTTGTTATCGTTTTGTATCCGTGCAAAACGGCTCAGGTTATCCATAGTTTTCATTTCATTTCTCTTTCAGATATTCAGTGGGCAACCTCAGAAACCGCTTCATCCTCGTCATCAACACCGTCTAACTCCAATTCAATTGATCCTCAAAAGTGAGTTTGTTATTTCAGTGTTGCCATGCTTTAGCTTTATGTTGTTATTAATATTACTTCTGTCCGAGCTGTTTTATTTACAGCATTGATAGGTGCACAATAGGATAGTTGTAAAGCATACTTGTATCCAAAGTTGTTATTTGATATTATTATCCACAATTTTGATTATTAACACAATTCGATGTGACTGCTTTATGAAAGTGTAATCTGTGATTGATTAACTGGTTGCAGTTGTATGGTTGTGTACACATGTGGTGCATATCGAGATACGGATCTACGTGGTGAGTCGTTTACCCGAGCTGGATTAGGTGTATATTGTCCAGAAAATCCAGAGAATAATATCAGTCGAAGGCTCTCAATGTTTCCAGTTACTCTGTTCCGTTCACAACTTCAAGCAATCATCGTTGCACTTGAACAGGTTTGTGTCACAATGTTGACTTTTCTTTCATTTTAACAATAATCATTTTCAAAATCTAAATAGCGGCTAACATTGTTGTTGTAATTGTCATTCTGATTACTGGAAGAGTGATTTCAGGCCGTTGACATGAAATATGAAAGTGTGATTATCCGAACAGATAGCCGAGTTTTCTTGAAATATATTATGAGGCAATGGAAAAAGGCAGACGGTGCATTCGTGAAGAACTATTCACAATATCTTCGTATCATTGACCTGGCGTCGAGAATCAAGGTAGCTGCCATC